GTGTGTGTGTGTGTGTGCTCGGCTGACTAAGTATCTTTGTAGGAATCAGGATTAGGTTGTCTCACTGACACACTGGGCTTATGTAAAGCTGAACCTACAGCACGTGGCGCCACACTAGTGGGACCCGGCCTGCTGCAGCGCTATACCTAACCTCGCTGGCACCTCTGCCTGGACCGAAGACTATGAACATCATCAAATTGCTGATTGTTTCCTTTTAGATACCTCTCCAGGAAATGTAGAAGTCATATTTTACTGGTCACATATTACAGTTGATCCACTCAGTTAAGACACAGCATTACTGTACAACAGTCCTTGAGTCCATTAAGACACATGGTCAGAAAGAAAATCCTAAATTTAACCTAATAGTCCAAACAATCTTATCAGGAGCAGAAAACAGAAGTGAATGTACCATTTATTACCCAAACGATCCATTACCTACGAATATTAGCATGTCTACTGGCCTTGCATGGTCTTTATTGTCTCTTTCTATGTTTGTGTTTCCCATATCTCAGCAATGTGGTTGGTGAGTGAAATGTTACTGAGGTGATCTAGAAACAGTCCCATTCTGTGCCTTAGGCTACATCCACACTACTATGTTTATGTTTTAAAATGCATTCTCTCTGCTACATTTATGCCTATAGCGTTTATGCTGCTGGTCTCTGGTAAAGAACAGGCACATCATTGTAAAGACTGACAAGCATCTCCCATCTCAGAGGTCCACTTCTCCTCCAAGGCTTTACCAAAACACAAATCAGTAAACTCAGCCTGCTCAGCCTACCTCGTCACTTACACTGAGTTTCACAAAATCTTTATATCAAGTATTCAGCGCTAAAAGGGATCTTTTTACAGTAACATGCATACACACACATACACAATCATAGATGTGCTAACACAAGATGCTGCTGTTAATGCACTTTAGAGGTTGCAAACAACAATCTACAGATGGTTTGGTTGTGAAAAACAAAAAACGATGATATATATTTATGTAGATCACAGAGGTGTCACGACAAATCAGAAGATTCCATGTCTCAAAAGAAGCACGCAACAAACAAATCTTCCACATGTTTGCATGTAGCCTCTCCTCTGCCCTTCCTCACAGTCGCCCTAGAAGCATGTAATAGCCAGAAAAAAAATCAATCAAGAGCTGAATGTGCCCCCTGTGCGTAAGAACACTTACAGCAGGCAAAAAAAGCAGACCCAATATATTGATAGGTGACCGGCCATGGTCTTCAAGGAGTACTAGCCCACTGCCTCAGCAATGAGGAGCTGCTTGTCTCACCGTTCATGACTCAATGCACCCCCAGCCTCATCCTGAACGCATCAGGCATTTCAATGGATCTGCACACTGTAGGCAAGTGGATGTGACAAAGGGAAATCAATAGCCAGCCCCCTTTTATGCAAATGAGATTGAACGGAAACCTGCATGCACTGAATAAGACATCTATCATGTTTAAGTTCACTATTGAATGTCTATTCGGCGTGAGGTAAACGACCTCTGAGGTGTAAGAAACCCAGACTGGTTCTTTAGCTGCATTTGCTGAGCTGGGATGATTATGAAGCCTTGGGTTCAATGAAGAGATCAGTGTCCTAATGCAGCCAGATTTAACACTTGATTTGTAATGGATTCAACACACCCCAACAACATATATGCATCAACTGAAATGTGATTGTTTTATATTGATCCCATGGTAATGATAATAACAAGCATGCACATATTAGGCTTTAAATTGTGTGATCAATCAGAGAGGGAACAGCCCGGCAATATGACTCAGCACCTATATTTTTGCACCACTCTTACAGTCATAAAGCAGCGTTGTTCAGATTATAAATCACGATCACATTTCCATAAAGCCATTTTCTCAATGGCGTTTTTTTTTTTCCCCCACAGTGACCTCATGTTATAGCTTTCTATAATGTATTACAGGCACACTGCAGCCTGGTATAGCCTTGCACTGCTACCGCAGCAAGGCAAGTTCCCGCAGTGACCGCAATATAGGTAGAGCCTGTATGTAGCACAATGCAGACATTATCCATGCAACACGTTAACGAAACACGCATGTAACTGCGTAATTGGACCAATAATAGCCAAGGCAATTAATATGGCTTAGCCTACCTATGTCAAGAGATTTGGTTCCTAGATCTGTTGCTCAGCTGCAATTTCATATCAGAGTCAATTCCGCAACATAGCTCATTTAAAACCTGGCTGAACGCAGAGATGAGACAGAACGGACTCATAAGAGCCCAGACTCTCTTCTACTGTCGGCGAACAATGCGCCCTTTCTCCAGAGGGGCACCTCATCATTTCAGCTTCGATGGTCATTCAATGTCGGGTGTAAAATATTAAACCCTGACCGTCAAGATCACAATCTTTTGTCCAATCATCACCATTCATACACATTCTCTAGTATCATCAATCTGTTATAGAAATGAAGAAGCCCTGTTTTTCTCTTACCTGTTCGGTGCCGTGTCTGTCAGCGCAACTCCGGGTCTTTCGGACACAGAGGCTCCGCAGCCTACATTTACCGTAATGACTGTACTAGTCGCGCCGTGACTTTTTTTTTTAAACTCTGCTCTAGTAATTACGGTGTTGTGCTCCACACGTTTTCAATATCCTAAGCATTTTAACGTATTGTCATTTATAGCATAAAGTGACAAAGTGTCTCTGTCTCAAAGCTGCTAACACTTGTGTCATTTTGCAGAGATGCCAAGCGCCCTGGTTAAAGTTTTTGCGTTTTTTTTTATTTCAGCTATTTATCCAAAACTCAGATTTGATATGCTGAGTTTGAGAATAACTGGAGTGGGTTTATAGGCTACTGCTTAAAGCCTTGGAAAACAATAATAGCGGCCTGTCTTTCAAGCAAAACTCAGGATCACATTAATCAGTTTTTACTGTGATCAGTTTTCATTCGAACTAACAAAAATAGTTCCTATATGTGAGATTCAGATGAAGATCTTCTTAATTAAAATCTTAAAGATGGAGGCTGTGCATGGACAGATGGTGAAGCACACATTTCAAAATCCAAGTGTACTACAGTCAAATTATTTAACATTAGTTACATAAAATCAGTTATATTACAGTATTGTCGTATTATAGTTATATTGTCACTTTGCATAATAACTCCATCCAATGTCGGGTTGTTCAAGATGTTCTCTGATATGCAAGAGCACCATCCGGAGTGCAACTGCTGTAGTTACAAGCATGTAGAAATACTATCAAAGTGCTGCACTTTGTAGTTGTGTCCAACAATTTATCACCAGTTGAGTCTGTTAATTCCAGGTCAATTAACAGATGTTTGAGGATTTCTGTCTTAATGTTAACTTAAACTGGCAAATATGGCCCCCATGTGGCCTCCAGAGGCTCATTTGCCTGCCAGCCATCAGGATCGGACAGTCGTGGCTGGGCAGAGTTGAGGTGGACCTCCTACAGGAGAGGCGAGACTGCTGGATCCCCCTCACTTCTCATGCAGAATAGGTTTGCTTGTTTGCTATACTGCACATTTTACAAGCCATTCCTTCTTTAAACATGCTGCTTTCCAAGAACACAGTCAGACATTTTACATCAGAAGTACAATAAAGATTTTCTTCAGCTGACATCTGTAGCAATGGAAAAGGAAAACTTGATCATCAGCCAAATCCCATTTACTCCAACAACTTGAAATAAGAAAATGACTATCTGTAAATTAATTTTTATGTGATTGAGTTTCTAATTCTGGGCACCCTGTCTCTCATACCTGGTATAAAGCAACTGACACATGCATGAAGATGAGAGGGCTGACCTTGACCACCATCTGCCCATTAGGCCCCCTGGTAGATGTGGAGGATATAATAAGAGGAGGTTATGCATATGGGATCATAGTACGAGCTGCTTCCCTGAGACTCTGGCCCTAAAAAGCGGTGACCTCCATAAATATTAATCACCCCAATCACTGAAATGACCTCACATTAGTTTGTCCTTCTAGTAGTATCTTGCATCAATGACATGTAAAGTACACTTAGCAGACATTTTACACGTGACTGAAATAAAAACCATCGGGCTTCTGAATGATCAGGTGCTTCACTTAATGTGTCAAATTTTTTACATCTTGTCATGCATGTCATAATTATATTACTCCCTTTCATTCATACTCTTTGACGTTCCTTCTTTTCTGTCCCCACCCTCATCTCTGTGCTTGTTACCATGTGAATCAGCCACAAGAAGACTCCAGAACACGTGCTGGCTGGCAAATGTTTACTTATAACTTTCATAAAAAATATATACCAAATGACAGACAAAAAAAAAAACATAAAGTCAAAAAGCACATGTAAATCAAGTAAAAGTTACATAAATATGTGTATGTGCTAAAGTCTTCATATACTGACTTTTTAAGACAACTGTGAAAATATAATAGATTAAAAAAGTAAGTGTCGACTACAAACAGTATACAAACCTGAGACTACAGTGGGGTTGTGCTGGTACACATCTCTTTACATACAATACATTTTATACATTAAAACCTGAAGGTGTAGCAGAAGCTACAGTAGTTATGCTACAATACTCACAAAGTACACCTAAAAAACACTTTTGCTTTAAAGCATTAAGCAAATAACATTAAAATCACTGTTCTGGAATGTATTAAGTATCCCAGTTAAGGTTCCCACGGCACATTTTCTCCTCGTGGCCCCAGGCATGAGGAGATCTGGAGAGCAAATGAAACAATTAATTAATGTGACAAATATAACCTTTTGAGGAACCACTACTCCTATTGACTCTCAACGCTTGATTGAGATCCTCCACTTCCTTCATTACCTAAATTACTCTGAATGAATGAATTATGCCTTTGTTAACGATTGTTAGAAAACCATTAACAAAAAAATAAATCCTTTGTGCTATAAATTACTAATTGGACAGATGAATGAATGCACAGATAACTAAATAAATGAATGACCAACAAAATGATTTACTAAAATGACTTATGAGCTAAAAGGAACAAATGACAAATGATTACATTTGTTAATTGTCTTAGTAATAATGCATTGTATAGGATTTATTATAATCATTATAATTTATTATAAATATTGTTATTATAACCAACTTATAAAAGAAAATTATTTAGTAAAAACTTGCCAAATTAATCAACAATTTAAGAGTTTGCGAAGAAGAAACAAAGTAAAAACTTCAGCAAAAAGCTGTGGCATGCACAAACAATCTGAGTAAGCACTGCACACTATCAAAGAGGGAATTCACTGTATTTCCCAACTCACATGTTAAAAAAAAGAAAAAAGAAAAGTCACCGCTGTCTCAGCTGCCATTGGATGTGCTGCTCCGGCTTTGTCCACCAGACAGCAGTGTAGCACCAGAGGAGGGAGCGAGGGAGAGACAGGAGTTGGAGTTCTCTGATGTGGAGGAGGCGGAGCTACACTCTGGCCATCCTAATGAAACTTTGTCCAGGTTGTCAGAGAGAAGTGTGTCTTCCTCATCCTCGGCCAAAGGAAACACTCGTGGCACCCAGGGTGTCTGAGGCTGCCGGACGACAAAGGGAATACAATGGAATTGAGCATATCTACAATTCAGTACGCATTAAACACATCTGTAAATTGAATATGTTGTTTGTTTATGTTTTAGAGTTTAGTATGTGTTCTATCACTTTCCAACTCTAACTCAATTATTTAATGAGCATTATATATGCTTAAATCTTCATTAGCTACATACAAATTGTAAAATAATGTCCAAAACTCGATAATTGCTCCTCCAATATCAGTCCCGACTACCTTGGTTGAATTTAGACTTTGAAGGCTGTATCATAGGGGTGCATGGCTCTGATGTCTAACTGTTTACGCTGCTTTAATCAGGGTTTGTATGGGTGCTCGAGTACATAAGTAGTGCAAATCAGTGAAGTGGGAGGTATTTGTGGTGTGGAGACGGTTGATACGGACAGTCTGGTTTAGTAACAACTTATTCCTTCTCTAATCAAAGAGAAGTGGCTGAGAGCACTGCAATCAGAGTATCATCAACAGAGTGGAGAAGTACCTGTGTCCGCTGTCAAGGATGCATCTAGGCTTTTAACTCACAATATCACTGGGAGAGAGTATTGATTAGTCTGCAATCCTTTTTTGCTAATTATACTCATATTCCCTCATCTGAAGCACAAATAACACAGACATATCTTTAACTGGAATGTTTCAGCAACATTTAGGGGTGGAATAACTGATGATCTACGAGCAACGTACTCCTAAATCTCCTCTTTGTAGAGGCTGTGAGGTAAAAATAGAAAATCGCTGTGTATGACAAGTGTGAGTTCCCTCCTATGGCAACTGAAGCATCATACTCTGATATTCAAAGCTTGTTTGGGGTTTCAGCTGTGGTGCTTTTGATCTTACCAGCCACTCCTCTGAGCTTTGCTGTTCACCAGAATCCAGCTGAGCAAAACTCAACTCCACGGAGCTCTCCTCTCCTGATGAGCACATCCCGCCCCCACTGCCCGACAACCTGCTGCCAGATCTGGAGAGAAAAAAACAAGCACACCCCATGAAACTTCACGAGTAAATTACTCAACATTCCCCTTTGAGGAACAAACCAAGTCTGCAATAGTTGCACTGTGCAGTCAGCTCAGACAGCAGGATAAGTATTTAACACAACAAACACTGCCCGACGTTTCTGACGTTTGAGAAGGCCAATTAATTCTCCCCAACCGACCCGATGTAATTCACCTTGCATGATGGGTATCACCTGATGTATTCAACGTAAAAGTATGTAATGTTGCATTTCTGTGAGTATTTTTTTTGTTTGTTTCCACCTTTTAGGAAGCCTGCAGCATTTTCTTTTTCCCACTGATGACCAGTGTAATTTCTCCCTCTGCTCCAAGTCCAGATGTCTCAGTGCATACACTTTGTTAGTGAGATCCTCCACCTGAAACACACACACACACACACACACACACACACACACACACATAAAGGAATAAGGATGGTATTTTCTTCACAAATCACAAGAAACAGCTCATGTCCAAAGGGATGAGACACTACCTGCTCCTCCTCATTGTCGTCGTCCTTCTTCTCCGCCTCACTGTTCATCAGAGACGATGCGTCATTCTCCCGCCAACTGCAAAGACAGACATTTTGAGGTGACGGACAATGATGGTGGACGGTGTGGACAGGATCCCGTTTGTATGAAAGTAAAAACCCACAGTAAATTCCATGTGCCAAAATACAAAACCAGAACCTTTACAATTCTATGCGACTCCATTAGAGGCCGTTTTGTTCCATACCTGGGTGTCAGGATGTCTTTGTACTGCAGCTTTTCCACTTTAGCCAGAGACATGGGGATGACAATGTTGTTGATGTTGTACACACTCTCTCCCTGGCGTTTGCAAACAAAGCCCTAAAAGGAAACATGACCAATGATTCAGAAGTGTTCACATACATCTACATCACCAGGTTGCCGTGATGGAGGTTTTCTCTAGACTGATCAGCTTTTGAATTTTTGTTGTGAGGGTCTGTTTTACCGGTTTAATTTATTATCTTGATCTGGTTTTAGGGTCGAGGCTAATTTAAGCTAGGTTTGGGGTCAGGGTTCTGGCATTACAATGAGGGTTCTCACAAGTATACACGTTCAAAAATGTGTGTGTGTGTTACCCGTGAGGCCTTCTTGCGTGAGAACGGTGTGTAGCTCTCCTCCAGCACTTCATCTGAACTATTTGGGTCACAGAACTGGTACAGGACTTCTTCCTCATCTGAATACAACACATCAAGATATTGTTAGGCTGGAACAGACACTACATTATAAACAACTTCTGGTACCCAAAAAAGGGTGATTTATACAAAAAAAGACATTATTTAAAAATGTCTGTGTTTACCAATCCTGCTCTTCTGGATGGAGAGTATTCACTGTAGCCATTTAATAAACATACACTTGCATACATACACACACACACCTTCCATCAGCCTGTGGATGCGTCTTCCCTTCCTCTTCCTCTGATTGGCTCTCCTGTGTTGACTCTGAGCAGAGCCTGCCATCCTGATAGGTGACAGACCCATAACTCTTCTTTCATGATGCCTTGCATGCTGCTTGTATGTGCGACCTATAATGACACACACAAACCAGAGAAAGACAGAGGTAATGGAGGAACAAGCGACAAGAATGAATAGACTGATGCCTGGAATCCACCTTTCATTCCAATAATAAAGTGAATCACAGTGCTCTCCATTCTTACACTGTACAAACAGCTACCACAGTGACCCATTTGCTGATATTTCCATCCCTTTCTTGCTTTGACTGTTCACGTAATCTCACTCTGCTTTAGCTACAATCAGCTGTGATAAGAAGTTCGTTTCCATGTGCCAGGCTATTATTTTAGGTGACGTTTACGTGACTTATTTCTCTGCTGTTGACAAAAGAGGAAACAATCATTCAAGCTGACAGGAAATCGACAGAGTGGTGGGTGAGTGACGTCTTCGTCAATTTCCAATTGGTCTCCTTTTTGTCTCCTCCCTTATTCTCTCTCTACCTCTCCTATATCACTTAAAGCCTTTTATCACCTCACCTTTGTATTTAACACAAGTCCATCTGATACATACTGTTTAGTCAACCCTCCCTGGGCAAACAGGGAACATTCTAAAAATCAACCAATCATTGATTGTTTTGGATAGTCAATCTCCAGCGTGGGGAACCATGGGAGCAAGGAGCACTTAAAGCCCCGAAACCAGAGAAGTAAACGATCATTTATTAGCTTCAGACTAATGTAAAGAGACACATATTGATGTCTGGTGAAATGCCAAAAAGGATTTCATTTCCACCTACTGCTCAGCTGGAAGCCTCAGACAGACCCAGTGGGATATCTGACATACTAGGAACCACTTATGATGCTCCACGAGGAGATAACAAGCAGACACAGCAGCCATGTTATCACGACAACCGAAGGGGAGAATTGTCTAAACAAGATGAATTGTCAGTTTATTATTACTATAATTAATTCTAACTTATTATTTCGAAACAATGTAAACTACAAAAGTCATTTAAATCTCAAAATAAATGTAAATGTTTTGTTAATATATCTAATATTCAATATATATACAGTTTTTCTAATAAAAACCACCGTTGAAAAGTTTGGACTGTGACGCTGCAGCAGGTAGTGCTGACTTTGCATTCACATTAAATTGCCATCGACTTCACACAACAAAGAGAAGTGGATCAAAAGCCAGTGAGGCTCCCGTCTGTTAGATCAATAAGAAGAAGAAGAATGCAGGTGCTTTCTTCTCAACCTCTGTCCTCCTGTCGTCTTCTTCATCAGTTGACTACGACAGCAGAACGGGTTACAGGCCTGTTTGAACACTTCACAAGCAGCGACTAAACACATAGGCCCAGTAATGTACTGGTATAAGACAGGAGAGCACCATAGAACACTACAGGGTGTGTGATCAATATACCGGTGAAGGGTTCTTACTGTTGTGCAGTGGTGTGGAGCTGCGTCTATTGTAGTGTGCTTGACTGGAGGGTTGGACGTTGATAGACAAAGGCCTTTGGGACCATTCTTCTCTGGCCAGGACTCTCTTTAAGTGGTGAGACCGAGGAGTGTCTGGAAGAGAGTGACAATTTTAAAGTATGCGCTCAAAACAGTCCCAGCAGTCTTAACGTCTTCACGATTAATTACTTCAGCACGTCTCAATGTGCAAGCATGCAGTCGAGGTAAAGAGAAGAACTACAGCTTTCAGAAAACAGTAGATGAAATTACATATGTCTTTCAACAACAACAAAAAAAGGTTGCTACGCGTACACAGGTTCCCTGTTCTTCCTACATAGCCAACCACATGACGTCGTGTTAATGTTTCTCCTACCGAATGAAAGACACAGCTCAGGGTGAGGTGTGGTGTTGGGGGTCCTGGAGGACAGGGCCCTACCGGAGCTGCAGTCTGGATCAGAGCACAGGGCTACAGGATCACAAGATGAGCAGCATGAACAGGAAGATGATGATGAGAGAGACGAGGAGACGGCAGACGTGGGCGTTCCAGAGTCCTGATGCACAAGAGAGAGAGAAAATCATTTTTTCACATGATACTAAACGAGCATAGTCAAAGAGTCTAACTACAGCAATAACTTAGCTTTCTCTTTGTGTCTTGTTGGAGTGTGAGTCACAAGGATTAATTCAGTTGTTAAAGAGCTTTCTTTGTCATCTGGCAACCTCTCAATGGTGCTGCTTCTTTTTATAATAGCTACAATCAGTCTGGGCTCTATGCGCGAATAGTATTGTTCAGCAAGATGTTGAACCTCCATGGTAACGGCGCGGCATGTTAACATTTATATATTCGTACATGAGCTAAAGAAGAGCTAGTTAGGGATTAGAAAATGAGGCCTACGCGTAATGTTTCTAAACTTTGTTTTTAGTCTCTGGCTCTTAAGCGGCTAAATGCTTCATTAGTGCAGATTTTAAAAAAAGATATCACAAAACAAGTTGTGTGCATGTAATGTTGCACGTAAAAGTACAATGATAGTATGGGAGTTCTTATTACGAAAACTGTTTGGAGCTACGCAGGGCGATGCCAACCACTTGACATTTGACTTGGCAAGAACATAGTCGGCTAATTAAAGGCTCGAGCTTCAGAATACTCACATGCACTTGTTTATTTGAAGCAAATCCGAGAGATATTACTGCTTGATTAAAAGCAGGTGTGCGGCTTTGAACATTAATTGCTGTTTAATTTGAGGACCTATTTTAGTTATATGGCATTCCAACACTGAAGCCCGACTAGAAACAACTGCTTTGAAGCTACATTTGACATGGATACGAGGATCATTTAAATTTAATAAACTAATGAATAAGTTTAGCAGCTTCTACACGGTGACACAGTTTCCAATATTTATTTTTAAAACCCAAAATGGGTCTACAATTGGAATTCATAGGTGGTGGACTGTAATGAAGTAAATTTGGTAATCAGGCGTAGTTCTTCTGGTGTCATCTTCATTACCGTCTTTACTGCCAAGTCCTCAGAACAGAGAGCGGAGGAATGCAACTGTGTTTCAGCATCCATCCATTATCTCCACCACTGTGCAGGAGCATGGGCGGCACAAATGAATAGATACTAATGTGTCCCCGCAGTGTTTGTTTCAGAAGCACAGAGCGGTTTCAAGATAAGAATGAGCTTATGGAAGACATAATTAATCATACTAATGGGACATTGGAGCAGCAAATCACCCCAGAAATGAAATGAAAGGAGACTGCATGTGTTTCCTACCTGTGGACTCCTGGGGTTGCTGGAGTTGAAGGTGAACAGTTTAGGCTTGTGGTAGGTGACCAGAGGTCGGGTCCGAGCACAAACGCACAACGCATCGGCTTTGGAGAGCCTCCTGGTCCCCCCCGGTCTCCTTCTCTTGGAGCTGCCAGGCTCAAAAATACTGTCTCCTTTCTGACCACTGCAGGGACGAGATCAGGTGAGGTCATGGAAGTGTCAGGGATATAATTCATGCTAAGATTCTAGTCTGATTTAGTTGTTAACATCATTACTGTGATTGCTCATAATTCAAAACTTCCACACATAAAATTGATAATTTGATCATTAAATCAAGACATTTCTCATAGCACACTTATATATACATGGACACACACACAGTAGACATGACTGAAGAGGAATCTTCACTTGTTTTGTGTGGGTGTTTTGATGGGAATCTTGTGTATCTTTCAGATCACTTTGAGAAGTGCTTATATGGTTTGCATGTTTCACATTTTATCGGAAGTGTGTCATGCAGTGTGGGAATCTCCCTGGTCTTGACTCGGTGTCAACCCCTCAAAGTCTTGGTCTTGTCCCAGGACTTGGTCATGACTCGGTTTAGGTGGTCTTGACTACAACACTGCTTAATTGTAGGATCTGTCATCTACTAATATATATCAATATGTGATCTATTTCTCCTTGGATGGTGTCTCATGTAATCTAGCATAATTTAAGAGTCCCATGTGTGATTGTTTCAGCTGGAAATGATCTACTGCAGAAAAGTGACTTGCCCCCACATAGGCCTGTACGTGGGTGTGTGTGTGTGTGTGTGTGTGTGTGTGTGTTTCTGTACCTTGTGAAGACTCTCTGGCCTTTCCAGGTGTGTGGTTGTTTAGATAGCGGTGAAAAGCTGAGCGGGGGCATCAGACTGCTGACAATCTGGCTGAGCTGAGCACTCTGCAATGAAGACATCATCCATAATAATGCTTTTTACAAGTGATGAAGTAATCTTTTCTCTTCAGTAGCAGTGAGTGGGTAAGCAATCCATCCAAGGAAAGGGATGGACGAATCAATATACAGTGCTGAGACTCTCTTGAACCCTTGATTGTGTTTGCTGTAAGTGGTCACGCACTGTTTGGATGAAGTTTGCTGTGTGACATGTTTGAAAGGATCACAGAACACAGGATTCCCAAAGAGAACGCTCATTTTATTCCAGTATTTATGTTGCCAAGTTGCAAATTTTCCAGATGTAGCAAATGTACTGAGTTGTACTGACTTTCCAGATTTTTCAAACCCCCGGTGTGTGTACTAGCTCATCCTTCCTACCTGTCTCTCTATGTTGTGCAGAAGGCGTGTGGGGCTGCAAGGTTCAGTGTCAGCATCCGATAACCCGGCCATTTCTCTCAGCAAGGTTTGCTGAATCTGTCTGTCTGTCAGCGGCTGGGACTCCGCGAGCACCACACCACCCTTGGACACACACACACACACACACACATATACAATTATTACAACAGGGCATTTTCTCTGAAAAATGAACATAATGACCGAAAAGACGAGTCTATTGATGCATATGAAACCGTTCACAGTGACAGCAGTCCATGAAAGTTGGCTACATTGCTCAATGCCGCTTTAAAACCTTTCCATAACATACTTTAGCTAAAGAGCTATTCATTTGTTACAGAGAGACAGCAGACGTTGGCTGACCCTATATGTTCCCTTCACACAAAACTGACTTGTATTTAAGGCCTGACTGAAAGCCCTTAATAATCTATGGCTGCCAGTTGGCCTATTATGTCAGCTGCCCTGTATTGATGTTGGCAGAGAGCACGTTGGTCTTACCTTGGTAGAGCGGATGTGCTTGTGGAGCTCCACCGGTTGTTGTATCCTCCCCTCCAGCTCGGCCAGACGTAGCTGCAACCAACTCCATCTGCTGCCCAGCTCCGCTCTCTCTTCCAGCCACCGCCCCTCACAGCTGCTGCTGATGGATGACAGAGAAGGACACTCAGACCCATGTTGTGGTATTATAGTATTCTGTTCATTTTTTGTCAAATTATGTCGATTACACCCTAATACGACCTCACAAGAAGATCTTTGGCATATGGCCGTGAATGCAGAAAAACGTCAAGAGAGTGATCGCAGCCACGAGCTCCAATTTAGCCATGAACTAAAAGTGCATGAAGAGGTCAGCGTATCAGAATCACTGGCAGGGTAATGTGTATCACCACAGGGAGAAGTAACAAAGAAGGCAGGACAGAGACTGAGAGACACAAAGAGAGCACTGAAGGACCAAACTACTTGTAAAATCCACATATTTGTACCACGGCACCCGTCATCTTATGACCTATTTCACACCAACCATGTTACCGTGTTGCATGTGTAAATTGCGAAGCATCCCAACAGCACGGGAGAGGAGGGATTTTTTTTTTTTGCTGAGGCACAAAAGCTTATCTAGGCCACAGAATAAAACCCGGTTGCATTGTGTGGTGTGTGTGTACCTATAGTATGTTTCCATGGAGCTAGCCTGTTCAGTTAGCATTCATCTTCTGTGTGTTTGGCAATAGTTGCTATGGCAGTGCTCTTGGACCTCTTGGCGAGGACAGGGAGGGACTCCCCCTACTTCAAACACTCAGATGCAGGACGGGGAAAGGTTAGGCCGATGTGCAAGCAGCTCTACACAGGGGATTTGACTATACCCTCTGGTATTGTGAAGTCGTTTTAATACTAGCCTAATACGTCAAATAACCACAATGTTGTTTGCTCGCCTGATCATAGCTACACACAGTGTGTTGTAGATATAAAGGCAAGCTTTGCATATGAGAACAAAGCCTATGATTGGTTAATGACTGCTTCTGAGCTGAGCTACACTCAATCCTGAGCTAATATCTGTTTGATAAGGAGCGGGCACCCTCCTTCCTCCACAGACAATGACCAGACCAGGCTGCCCTGCAGCTCTTTCGAACTGTATAATGAGGAAATTCCTGAAATGTTTTTGCCAAGTAGTAGGCGAGCAGTAGGTTGAATAAAAGGCCAGCCCCAACAAGCTGCTGTGGGTTTATGAATGATCCAATCTGGATTGTGTTTCTTGGCTCTTGCTGAGGCATTAAGGCTTTAGGGTGTGTACCGCACTTAAACTTTCCAACTCGTAGCCTTTCCCGTACAGTACTGTGTATAAAAAGTACTAAAATAACAAAAATGAGAAACTGGAGGACATGGTCTCAATTTGAAGTCCAACCATGTCACTGCTTTACAAGTTCACACTTAGAATGTGAAAGTCAGACCATGTCCACGTTTTTTTTTAAAAGGGGGACAATGATCCGTCCCTCCTCCAGCAAGGAGATATCCTCTTCAAGGAGGATCCTGCCATAAAAACTCCCCAGGGGAGCTTTACTGACGAAGCATAGAGCATTGTTCAACGGACTTGTATAAAAGGCAAGCTGACGCTTCCAAGATGACTAAAGCTGGCCAAATAAACACACACAGATTAGAAATCACCCTTTCTCTTTCCTGTTCTCGGGGCTAATAAACATGTCCCAGTTTTGTTAACAGCCCCTGTTTATTGCACGGATACAGGAAACAAACAGAAGTGTTGAAGAACTTCATCTAACTGAAGAAATAAAATGGCTCTGCACTTAAACCAGACTTGACTGGTCCAGAAAGACCAAGACGTTACCCCTCCTGTCCCCAACAGAGTCCACACTGACGCCCCCACATTGCGGGCTAGGAAGTGTGTTAACCTGGTAACATGAGGCTGGTAATATGGGGCTAAAAGTAATTAAAATGATTCCCTACACACCTAGAAGAATAGCAGAATAACTCGGGCACAGCATAAATATTTCTCCAAAGAATCCTCTTTCCAAATGAAGATGTTGTGCTGAGTATCTAGTTTCAGTTGTATTTTTGTAACACAAAAGGTGTGGAGCCGATTCACTTTAAGAAAAGTTTTGGCAACTGATAGACCCGTTAGACTTTCATCATACTGTAGATCCTCTGTTGTCTAAGTCAATGTTTATGGAAAATCATTTTAATGGTATATATATAATCGTAATACTTGTTGTTTTCGTAGCTCTATTTCAGCCCAATTGCTCCCATTCCCTGTATTTCTGTTTCTCGTTAACATAATGTATTCGTGGACATTTGCCACAATATCAGCCAACAGGAAAAACATATGCAAAATTCTGACTATGACAATTTGTGTGTGCAATGTGCACAGTTTTTTTTGCAAGTTAAATACCGTCTTGTGGTTTGTTGCAGAAAAAAACAAACACTCCTCACCGGATAGAAGATACAATCATACAGGATTTCCATTATTTTTGCCTCACCTGGGGCAACACGACTCCCTTTGAGCAAGGACACAAGTACAGCAGACAACCTTCCAAACCCCCCAAAACACACACACACACACACACACACACACACACACACACACACACAGGTCACTAGCTCAATGGCACAGAATGGCATGTTACAGGCTTGCTGGCATGGCCGTTTTTATTTCCTAGCCTGTGGGTGTGGACAACTGGCTTGTCTGCCGAGTGTATGACTGCAGCATGGAAAGAGAAGCGCGTGTGTGCATTGCTGAAAAATGTCATCACACTCTCCACAGCTGGGAGGACAAAACTTGTGCTAATGACAACCACACTGTAAACTCCACTGAGGGCCGAGTGAAATATGTGGCAGAGACACAGTGGATCTCATACAGTGTCCTCTATAAATTAGCCTCTCCATTTCACACCATGTTTGTATTCTTTTAAAGGAGTTTGAGAGCACAATGAAGTTCGTGAAATGTTTTTTTTCTCATTGTTTTCTTCAACGCTAGCTGGTAACATTGCGTTCGACACTGTGTGAAATCATGCGGTTCACCTCAACTTGATGAGCAAAATACGTGGTTCAGGGGATTTCTAAATCCTCTCCTTTGGAGCGTGTTTAGTTAGCTGGAATAACCAGCTGTGACACATATGATACTCACTGTGGCTCCTAAAAATACACAAGTTCAAAACAAGAAACAGGCCTCGAAGAAAACTGGTCTCACTCAGTTTGCTTGTAAAAGAGAAACCAACCGTTGTTCTGTGTGTGGAAAGTGTGTTTTTGTGAGCAAGCAATACGTACAATATAATCTGTTGATTACAGCTATTAACAAATCCGTTAATAGCTTCACATCAGATTTGAACTGTGGCATAACAATACCCACAGTTATGCCCACAGTTATGTTATGAAGTTATATTGTTAATGATTAGCAGCTAATTGTGATTTTTGTCTTGAGGTGTATATCCCAGTTGCCAAAAGAAGTCCCCTTCAGTGCTTTAGAGTCTTGTTGATTAATGCGCACATGCAACTAACTACGTGCACCTTCTACTCACACAGGTGAAGTCTCGGTTCTGCCGTGGATCTCATCCTCCTCGTCTGAGCTGCTGCTGGCCGTGGCCTCGGAGTCCAAAGCCTCCTGCAGGCCTCTCAGTACCGCCTGGCTGGAGCAGCTGAACTCCGAGAACTCTGTGAAGGACTCCAGCCAAGAGCAATGCCGTTTGCTTCCTACTTGCGGAGGTAGTACACCAGAACGCACGGAGCCCGGGCTGTCGAGTCGACGGTGCCTTTTCAGCCCCTCCAGCTGCTGGCTGCAGTGCAGCATGGCGTGCTCTCCCAGCAGGGCCTGCAGTCTCCTCTGCAGCCTCTGAGCTCGGCCCTGCAGCTCTGCCTGCCTGGCGAGCTTCTCCTTCGCGGCCGCCTCCAGCTCAGTTCCGGATGCCGGCCGGTCAGAGTTCACAACGTCGCTGCGAGGCTGCACTGAGGATGGAGGAGGCCAGCCCATGGCAGCCACTTTCCCCTGTGTCAGTGAAGGTGGGGGTGCGAAGAAGTGGGTGTAGCCCTGGGAGTGTATCTCCCCGTGAGGAACACTAAGGGTGAGAGGGGGGTGACGCACATCACCACCATCTGGTCCACGTTCAGGAGCACGGCTGCGCCCGTGCAGCAGGCAAGCCTCTTGGCTATTGTGCTCAGGGACAGGGAATAAAAACATGTCTGGTACACCTGGGAAGAGGCCGGCCACCTGATGAGAATTTCGCAGGCCTTTGTTGAAGGAAAGGAGGCTGAGGAGGGAAGCAGGGCCGGGGAGGAGCACCGTCTCACGCCGGCTGGCGGACGCCTGGACGGCAGGGAGACGGGAGTCCAGAGAGGGGAAGCGAGAGAGGTTCAGCCACAACTTCTGGAGGTCTCCGTCATCTGTCGGCCTCATCCGAGACTCCGGCTCAGTACTGCGCACGGCTCGGCCATCAGGGTCCATTCTGGCGGCGGCGGGAGGCGAGGAGAGGTGGATCCCGTGGCCATCTTTCAGGGTTTTGGTGAGGGCCGGGGCCATACCCCTGACGGGTCAAACTTCACAGCCTGCACCTTAAATCCCCTGACAAGAGAAACATGTTAGTAGCTAGTCATTTGTTTTTTCTCCCTTTGTTCTTCCCTTTATCCCCTCTTCCTTTCCATCTTTCCTTTCAATCCTTCATTCTTTCCATTCTTCCATCTTTAAATCCATGTGTCTTTCATCTCTTCATTCCTTTCTCTCTCCCTTATTCCCTCCTGTCTTTCTTTCCTTTCTCCCTCCTTCCTTCCCATACTTCATTCTTTCTTACCTTTCTCCCTTCCTTCTTATATCCTTCCCTCATCTCCCCTTTTCCCTTCTTTCCTTCCTACTTTCAAACCTTCCTTCTTTCCTTTCTACCTTCTTTCGTCCCTGCTGAGACACACTGCGTTGATTTAATATTGATTTGGGGATAATAAGACACAACACAGGCAGAGTGGCTGTAGCAAAATAAACGGTGCATTAACGTCAACTACCTTGACGCATCGCGCACACACGGTGGTAATAACACGCACACACACACACACACACACACACACACAATTCTCCTGTTGTTCCTGCTGTGTAACGTATCAAAACAATAACACACGTTAAGAGCCAGATAGCGTCAGCAAGGTGTTTTAAACACTGCTGTATACTCGTTCATCACAGGTTAAAGGTAACGCTGTACCTTAGTTCTCTTAGGTTAAATTAACTCTTAAACTGTGTTAAATATAACAACTAATGCCAACGTTCGCTACATCGAGTCCAATAACGGACGTTGACATAAACGTTACTCACCTGAACAAGAGGTAACGTTGAACCGTTGACTTAACGTCATTTATTCCAGTGAGAATTAACGTTACAGCTAAAAACAACGTTCGATCTTTATCGATATATTTTTCCCTTTTGCGAATCCCTCCAGAAAATGTAATCCTGCCGATTTTCTGGCAATCCAACTGGCTGTCTAACGGTGACATTTATTTTGCCGTCCTCTCCTCTTGTCCGCCGCTGCGCCTCCTTCTCGTCTCCTTCACTCATCAACTGCCGAGAGGACGAAACACACAGCGGAAAGAGGAGGGGCTGGACCAGACTCGTGATGCCTTCACGACCTCTTCAGAAGCTCAGACTTGCGAGAATGCATGAGTGAAAACAAATTCCATAACCCATTACATGTCCTACTATGTTTTTATTAAACTCAAGTTACTTCATTACATTACATTAAGAAATCAAATGAGGTTTGATTGTACCTGAAAAGAACGAGTGTGGGCTCAAAATGTACTTATCCTAATTGTAGGTAATTAGTAGGTGTGAAATGCACAGCATTCTTCAAAGCAAATAAAACAATTTGTTAAGTATGCAACAACAACAAAGACATCATTCAAACGAATAAAAATGAATACACGTGATTAATGTTAGATACATTTTAATGAGACAAATTAAGCTTGACCCTTACATAATTACAAAAGAAGCATACATATGTACTCCTTATGAACAGAATGAAACACAATAATATGAAACAGTAAAATACACTAACTTTGACACTTGTTTTTCAAAAGAATTGCCACAATTCAGCAACTGGTATTCCGCAATGCCATTTTCCAACATTTCGATGGCAGGAATGAATAAATTAAACAAATACATTTTGTTATTATATTTAAATATATTACCTGAATTTGACAGTTTTCCAGATACTGAATTCTGAATCAATGCACATGAAAAGCAGGAATCAGCATTCATAGAGCTGTAACTATAAAATATATAAGAATGAATATATCTTCTTTTTTTCTTTTTATCTAACTGTATATGACATAAAAACAAAATCTTTCATATAGATACATAAACAGTACAAAACATGTAAGTAGCTCTGATCTCCTACGGTAATATTCCAAGCTTCAGGGGCAGCTTGCATCCATGTAGATTGATAAGTGTCTTAGGTTCTCCTCAGCAGATCCCTGGTCTTCTGGTTTCAGCTTCAGTATCATACTCCTTGTTCAGACTGTTGTACTTGAGGTGCTTTGCAGCACTGAGCTGCTCTCAGCCAGATGTGTGCTGCTCTCTGCCTGAATACAGCCTGACCAACTCCCAGGTTGAACAGAGTGCCTGACATGTACAAGTTGATGACAGTGAAATCGGTATATAGATCACTGAGCTTATATGAACTGCCCACAGGAAAAGACCTGTACATAGTCCAAACAGCACAGAACACATACAGAACTCCCTGTAGGATGCCGGTGACGGTGACCCTCACCTGATTCCTTAACTGTGGACAGGACAGAGGTTGTCCATTTGCTACCATACGATGCATGTGTCCAGACAGGTAGAATACAGTAGAACCACTGGACATCACCATAACACACAGACAGAAAACAAAATGCACCTTCAGTACGGAAAACACAATGAAAAACACATTTTCCCGAAAATATTTCAAGAAATCTCTTGCAGGCATGTCATTAACCACTGTGGAATTGTTGCTGATTACAAATCCATCAAGAGGAATAAAGACTAAATACATGGAAGTAAAATTAAACAAACTGTAAATTCTCTCTGTAATCCAAAAGCAGTAGATGATGGATTTAACGTTCTTCTTAATCCAGATGAAGAGAGCTCTCTGTGCAGGTACAATCTGGCTGCAGTAGAAGAAGTTCAGCCAGACAGAGGAGGTCATATTATTGGACACACTGCAGACCACCACCAGAGATAAGATTTGGGTAATCCTGAAGCTGTTCAAATGTAGATGAGAAAAGGCCACCGCAATAACTGACACCATGTAAGTTATTTTACAGCAAATCACAGACCCAAGGAGAAGCTTCAGAGGTTGCTTGATCTTTTCTCCGTGAAGTGGACAGACCATGCAAAACATGTAAAATGCAACAGTCACAATGTTAAAAAAAAGAAAGGGCCCATTACTGAGGGCAAATGTTTGAAAATCCATTTTTAATCAGTTTGCTGTTTCTGTTCTGGTGTCTTCTTCCCTCGTAGAGAGCTCACAAATAAAGCCAGTATGGTTCTACAACTCTATGCAATGTAACAAATTAGAGGTATTTGCATCTAATGCAAATCAAATTATGTATACAATCATATACTTGTGAATTTGCCTAAAAAAACAACAGAGACATTAATTCATGCTTTCATTTCATGGGTTTACAATTATTTTTCAACATGACTATTTGTGATTTTCTTTACAAAGTTTGTTTTCCAGACAAAGATTTAGGATTAGCAAGTTGACATGTTCATGACATGAATCTGATAAAAAGTTAGAGAATCTACACAGCGTCTGAAAAGTGAAACAGTAACAGGATCATGTGAAGTTAAAGGGCCAACATCAGGAAAATGATCATGAGTTTGGTCACTGAGTGACTTTGGCAGAGAGAGAGAGAGAGTAAAAACATGATGAAAAAATAATATGTTAATATATATATATATATATATATATATATATATAGATGTGGCTGTGTGTGTATGTCTTTTGCTGTGTGTGTGTGTGTGTGTGTGTGTGTGTGTGTGTGTGTGTGTGTAGATAGCAACATTCCCTCTTGTCAAGAACTTCATGCAGCTCTTTTACAAATACAAAGTAGGCTGGGAATAGATGTCTTAAGGATAAGGATAAGGATGTTTATTGTCATTGTAAAAACATACAATGAAATTGAGTTGGCGACTCAGTCAATACAGCAGCAACAACTAAAAAATGTATAAAAACATTAAGACAGGACATGTCTGATTTAAAACAAGAACCTGTCGGGATGGGAGGAATAAATAAATTGCAGAAATGAGCTTTGTTATTATAGATATGAATATATTAGCAGAATCTGACAGACTTCCAGTCACTGAATTATGAAACTATTACACTGTTATATATACATGTTGGCATCAGTTACTATTAAACAGAACTTTTGTGCATCCTTCAGTGGTTTGTTATTGTCTTGTTCCATCAGTACTTCATTCTTAGACTTTTATCTGAGAAGAAACTGAATATTTTCAAATCACAGCAGTGTCACACACATATTCATACATCATCACTTAAAGGACCATATCGATGTTTTAGCATGTTGTAGTCTATTTCTTACACGTCACCCACAATTCAAATCATTGACATTTTTTTATTTTATTTTTCTAATTTGTGTTGTGTTTATACACATTCCTGTCGATCAATAAATCACGTTCCTGTCTGTGAGCACAGTGACTGAACACAGTGAACACCATATCTGCTTTTATTAATCATTGTGCAGTTCAGACTTTTCAAGCAAATCTGCACTTCGTGACCAGGCAGCAACAAGACAGATGTGATTGTTTACCGTCAATGATTGTCTACCTCAAGCACGTTTCAAGCCTCTGCAAATTGTTTTTCATCATACGGTGAAGTAAATGAGAGTCAGCAGCTGCCTGTGAGGCAGGAAAACACATTAAACCGTCTTTGTTAACACAACAGCAATGTAATGCGTGAGTTAATAAAGTAAATGAGCTAAAACATGCAAAAATACTGAAATGGTCACACAATGACACTCAGGAAACATTTCTTTCATGCAAATTTGCACTTACATAATATGCACACATACACACACACACACACACACACACACACACACACCTGAATTTACATAATTATGAGATTCCTATCTCATAATTATCCAAAAAATACAAGAAGATTATTTCATAACCATCATAATTACAAGATACAGAAATATACAAATCCATCAAGAGGAATAAAGACTAAATACATGGACGTAAAATCAAACAAACTGTAAATTCTCTCTGTAATCCAAAAGCAGTAGATGATGGATTTAACATTCTTCTTAATCCAGATGAAGAGAGCTCTCTGTGCAGGTACAATCTGGCTGCAGTAGAAGAAGTTCAGCCAGAAAGAGGAGGTCATACTATTGGACACACTGTAGACCACCACCAGAGATAAGATTTGGGTAATCCTGAAGCTTTCAGCACGTAGAGAAAGGAGAAAGACAATAACTGACACCATGTCAGTTATTGTAAAGCAAATCAAGGACCACAGGAGAAGCCTCAGAGGTTGTTTGATCCTTTCTCAGTGAAGTGGACAGACCATTCAAAAGAGGAAAAACCCATTAGCCACGATGTTGAAAATAGTAACAGGCCCGTTAGTCAGGCCACAGGTTAGAAAGTCATTCAGAGAAGCACCTGACTCAGCTGTACATTCTTTGGAGAAGCACACAGAACGTCTTTTCATTCATTTTGCTTGTTGCCTCCTGGGCACTGCCCACATCATTCACCCAATAATCACACTGACAATTGGACATTCATCATTACAGTATTAGTTACTTCACCTGATGTAAACTGCCTGGAGTGCATTAACATACTTATGCTCAGTAATGCTTCTTTTTTCCTGGCAATGTCACAATGATTATAAAGCTCTGAGGAGTTACTGTCTGGCTGTTGCTCTCCAAGATATACACACATTACACACTTTAAAACCACAAATTATCTTTTTTATGTTTGTGGAAGGACTAAACAAACTAAATATATTCTGTTAAGACATGCTGCCAACTGGATTGTTTTACTTTATTGAGAGCTAGGCTAGCTGTTTACTTGTGTCCAGTCTTTCCGCTAAAGCTACGCTAATTGCCTCATGGCCAACTCCCAAAATAGAAACAAATAAGCATATTTTCCAAAATGTTGAAATATTAATTTAAAATGCTAAAATTATGTTGCGTGATAGCAAACATCACAATGACACCTTTATGTTTTTATTGTGTTCCATTGTTTCTGACTCATTATTCACTTATTTTTGGCAAACTACTGTTTCCACTGTTCTAAATACAAAATATGTGATAGTTTGTTCTGTTCTTGTTGCACTGCGTGCTACTAAAAGATTATATGAACTTGCAATAACACTTTGTTTAAACAATCTTAACCTATATAAATTAAAACCCAAAAGAGTGGAGTGTGAGAAAAACTGCTCTGCAACATTTTTATTTAAATAAGCTCATCTGACTAAAACGCCAGAAACAACAGATGACATGAAGACAAAGACAAAAAGAGTCACATGAAAATAATACTCCATGTCAGAAATAGCAAACTAATTATGATACAGATTTACATTCTTTGCAGTCATTGACAGTTATGATCCTTCTGGTAGTTAATTACTCCTCACACACATACACACACCTCACAAACACCAATATTTAAAACCCACACAATCTCTCTCTCTCACACACACACACACACACACACACAAGCTACACGTTTATCCCTCTTCAGTTTTTCAGTGTGTACAGTATATGAGATGTCCATTATGCTACATGTCAAGGACTTGGACATATATACATGTTGGCATCACTTTCTATCAAACAGAACTTTTGTGCATCCTTCAGTGGTTTGTTATTGTCTTGTTCCATCAATACTTCATTCTTAGACTTTTATCTAAGAAGAAACTGAATATTTTCAAATCACAGCAGTGGCACACACATATTCATATATCATCACTTAAAGGACCATATCAACATTTTTGCATGTTGTAGTCTATTTCTTACACGTCACATACACTTCACATTACTGCCGTTTTTTTTTTGTATTTTCTTAACCCGTGTTGTTTTTTTTCACGTTCCTGTCTGTGAGCACAGTGACTGAACACAGTGAACACCATATCTGCTTTTATTAATCATTGTGCATTAATGCAGTGCAGACTTATTAAGCAAATCTGCACTTCGTGACCAGGCAGCAACAAGAGAGATGTGATTGTTTACTGTCATGGATCGTCTACCTCAAGCACGTTTCAAGCCTCTGCAAATTGTTTTCCATCATATGGTGAAATAAATGAGAGTCAGCAGCTGCCTGTGAGGCAGGAAAACACATTAAACCGTCTTTGCTAACACAGCAGCAATGTAATGCGTGAGTTAAAGCAAATGAACTAAAACATGCAAAATGATGAAATGTCTCTTACTGTGACAGAAAACCATCATATCACGTCAGAATTTACAGTATAAGAGATGGTTAACTTTCTGTGTGTGTGTCTTTAAGGTGGAGTGGTTAGAAGTAGTCTCGTCTTCGTGAATCGTCACTGATGAAGGAGGGGTTCCACTGGGCGGGGTAGATGCACGAGTGGCGAGAACCCGGCAGACCTGTGAACGGATGCAGGCCGTTTCTCTCAAGGTCTGAGTTACGCAACGCAGGCTGACGAAAAGAACACAGAAAGAGAGAGAAAATTATGTATTGAACAGCTTCTTCTACACCAATATAGTGGTAGTATAGATTCATCGGCTCTAACTAAACACACAAACAAGTGCTTCAGTTGAACTATGAAGAGAAATGAAGAGAGTGGGAGATAAAACGAGAGTTGTGTTGCATGTCTCCTTACAGAGTAGTAAATGTCGGTCATCTGCAGCAGGTTCTTGGTGCTGCCGTTCTCTTGCATCTCTATGGTCTCCCTGCCCCACTCCGTGGATATGCGGTTATTTTTGGGGAAGTCTGCGTATGGGGACATCTGCAGGTCTCCACTCTTGAAGATGATCTTGTTGATGTCATTCTTGTCTTTCCTTTGAGATCAAACATTGTTCAAAAGTTAAACCTGCCAAATGTCACCAGAATTTTTCAAGTCGTCAAACCATTGAAAGTAAAGGAACTGTGCTTTTTGGTTCTTTGGATGAACTGATCCTTTAAGTCACTAAATAGATAATTGCACTTGTTGGATCGTCTAGGATCCTTTGTTTTGTAATCATCAACTTACGAATACGGTAGGGCAAGGCAGATTACTGCACTAGTATCAAGAACACGTCAGTTTAAGACTTAACAAGATGAAATGCACTGCAAACCAAGAGAAGTTTTGCACCGACAATAACAGAAGTCTTACTTGCAACAGGTGACAATGAGAGCAATGACGAAGATGAGGAGCAGAGCGCCTCCTGCAGGCGACACCACGATTGCGATCAGCTTGTAAACTGCAATGTCAAATAACAACATATTAAACGCCACACTTTAAAAACCAACGTAAAGATCATGAGAGCAAATTTGTATTTAGTTCACAAAAAACATTTTCTTTTGAAGCTAAAGGTTTTATATTATGCCTGTTCAATGCCTCATTTTTAAGGACACTTACAGTTTCCACAGTTGAATCCTCCAAATCCAAATATGCAGCTGAAAAACAAGAAACAGAATCCGCAGGGAGAAAATCGCTCAGTGTGAGCGGATCAATTCTGTCAGGAAAAATGAAATCAATTTGAACTTACGGAACACAGGTGTCATTTTCCAGCTTGTAGCCATCTCCACATTCTGAAACAAGACGTTTTATTTCAGAATGAAGTTTGGTACAAGGAGTTCCAAAGCCAATCGATTTTCTAAAATGCCTTGGTCTTAGTTTCGATGAATTTCATGTGAAATATTAATGTCAATTCTGTTTTTGTCAGGAAGGAAACACTTTGTTGTCATTTTAATCAGGTTAATTACGTTTTTAAATCATATTGTAATATGCACTTTGCTTTTTTAAAAATCATATTCTTGTCATTGTTGTATTTAGTCATTTAAAAACACACATGCACACACTTAGCTCACCTAAGCAGGACAGGTCTTCAGGGTTGTGTTTGTAGTAGCCTTGAAGACACTGGCAGTTGGCTGTGCCGCTGTCGTCTGTGCAGGTGGAGCGCTCTGTATCACACTGAGTCTTCTGGGCCACACACAGACTTTCCACTGGAACACAGGGTGGACACAATTAGTCATGAGTACAACAGCACAGGGATATTAGGTTGCATCTCAAGAGGAAGTCAGATTTTCAACCATCTTGCATACATTTCTACTGTATGTGTCAGCTCACAGTGATCTTATTTTAGTGAGTTGTGGTATTGTTCTGCTGTTATTGTAAGATTCTGTGTAGCCGTTGTGAAATACAGCAGCTGGATGTTGAAGATCGTGAGCGATGTAATGATGTAACTGTGGGAGCTGTTGACGGCTAAATGGTGCCCTCTAGCGGCTGTAAACACATTCACAGCTGCATTAGGTAGTCTGCCCTCAATCACATTTAAAGTCAGTCAGTTAAAAAAAAACTGTATTCAATTTGGCTAAAATGAGCAAAATTAAACCTGATAAGTACGATTGCTAGTTTTTACTGTGGTAAGTGAGCTGGTGGTGCAGCACCATCCGGCAGTGGGCCAATGAGGAGCTGCAGTTGCTGAGAGACATCTGGATGCTGTTGTAGACCTCTGCGCCCGTCACATCGGTGGTAATGGAAAACATGTTGACAGCTGAGATACGAACCCCGTCCTCTCCTCTGTGGAGAACAGATCAGAGGTCAGTACGGAGGTACACACTGACAAATCGTCCATGTTGCATCATTTAGCTAAAAAATGTAAATGCTGGTGGGGTAAATATAATTATAACCACTTTGTTCACTAATTTGCCTCAGAGGGCTTTACAAGCTGTACAGCACACAACATGTCCCAGGAGCCTCGCATCAGAAAAGGAAGAAACTTCCCGGAGAACAACAGAGGAGGGATCTTTTTCCCAGGATGCTTAGCAGTGCTATAGATGTCATGTGTACAGAATAAACAACATAATGGAATAACAGAAATGGAATGGTTTAGTGATGGCAAGGACTTACTTCTTACTCAGCGTCGAGCGGCTGTATCCTCGGAAGACTGACAATGAAGCATTGAGCTGAGGTGGAGACAGGAAGAGAGTGTGTGGGAGACATATTACACACAAGCCCAATTGAGTTTTTCTCAGAAAGGAGCAGAGGCAATGCAGTGATGTGGACTGCCTCTCACCAGCTGGACGATCTCTCTCTGGATCTCATGCATGGTGGCGCTCGTGAAGATAACAGGGTCATGTGGCAGTCTGTTGACACTGAAAGTTCCCAGAAATGCCTTT